TTGTTCTGTAAAAGCTTGAGGTGTTTTAGTAGGCTGCAAGCCCTATACAAGTCAGCAGTATGATGTGGTAGCCAAAAAAATCTGATGTGCTATTGTGCTACATTAAGAGCTTCCAGGAATAGGGAACTTAGCTCTTGACAGACTTCTCCTGGAGGAATGGGTTCACTTTTGGGTGCCACTGCCTAAAAAAGACATTGATGAGCTAGAATATGCATAGGAGGGCAACTAGAATGATTAACAGCCTTGACTCCTGATAGGGAGGAATTGTTTGAAGGAACAGGGCATGGAGAGGACAAGACTCAAGGGGAGGTATGAGAGCTCTCTTCAAGTATTTGAAGGGTTGTCATATGGAAGAAAGATTAGGCTTATCTCACTTGGCCCAAAAAGGCCAAACCAGAGGCAAATAAATGACAAAGAGGCACATTTAGGCTTGATATCAGAGAAAACAACAATGATGACAATGATAACAACTTCCTAAATATTAGAGCTGAATAAAAATATAATGGTCTATACCAGAAGGTAATGGGTCACCCCTCCGTGGAAGGCGCCAAGCAGAGGCTGTGTGGTTACTCAGGCATATTAAAGTAGGGATTCTTTCCGCACATGGGTTAGACTAGACGGCCACTAAACTATCTTACAGCTCTTAAATTCCATGATTCTGTAAGCGGATGGCCAGGATTCTGGTGCCTTGTAGTTGTACTTTTCGGCATATGTAGGCATCTATCTCAACGGGAAAAAGAAGGGACACCTACCAACTCCACAGGATTTCCCTCTGCTGCTGGTTCTAAAGTGCAGGTCAGCAAAAGAGAGTGAAATTTCTAAAAGAAATGGGTTTAGTGAACTGGATCTATGCCAACCTCTAATCCCCACTGCTTAGCCTGTGTCAGGAATAATTAGATCCTGTCCTTTGGAAGGTGCCACACCTGAGCAGTGTCAGATTTTAGCTATGGGAATCCTTTGTCATAAGACCATAAAGGCTTGGGCAGAGTAATTTGTGAAATTCAAGCAAGAAAATGGGACAACTCCAGTGGCTAGCTGGAAAAATATGATTGCCAACACAAATAGATGTTCTGGGGATGATGGGAGGAGGCACTATGCCCACTGCCATGTTAGGTGGAGAGTGACGATGCCCTCTCCCATAAGAAGCCTTGAGTTGGCTCTTGAAACATGAGATCTTAAAATAGATGACTGAATACAAAATTTATGTGGAAGAAAGGGGATCCTTTAATTGACTTACTGGCAATCTTGAGACCTTGGATAAATGTGAAAGGGAATCTTCATTCATACCCTGCAGAAGAAGAGGGCAACCCCCTACAAGAGGCCTTAAAGAGGCAAGCATTTTGTGTTGCCTGTCTGATGGGGATACAGGGGTGGGGGTGGGATTGTTTGTCTGGTGGGCCAGGGAACATTAAATTGGTGGCACTACAGTGTAAGTCTCAGTTTCTACACAGACACCAAGAGAGATTGTATGCAGCAAGAGGCTTATGATCTCATAACTACTTTGCTACAGATGATCCTGTCACATAATGGGGACTGGGGACCGGGAACCGGGGACCATGCTAAATGTGGCCCTGATGTTTGTGGTGTTGTTCTTGTTCATCATTATTGGTTCACATTGGGACACCTTCTTTGAACTCCTTCCCCCCACCCAATGAGCTGTATTTTTTTTTCAGAAATTTTGTATATTTTGTTGTTTCTCTCTTCTTATTATTTATATTGGGCTCCTCCTCATGTGCTGCTTACTTTAGGCTTCTTCCTAGGGTCAGAAATGTTTTAGGGTTTTTTAAGAAGCAAAAAGTCACAAGAGGATTTGGGGAACTTTGCCAGCAAGGGGTGGGATGTGATATGTTGTGATAGGAATAAGGTTGGTAAGGTAGGCTGGTAAGGTTTCTTTTTAAGGTGGCAAAAAAGCTATCTTAAGAATTTGGTTGTTCCAGAAGACTAAGGGTAAAAAAAAAAAAGCCAGCCTTATGGTGTTCCAAAAGTTTGGCACTTCCCATTGCCCTGTGGAATGCCATAATGACCTAATATTCCTGCCTTAGAGAAGGTGGAAATAGAGGGGAGTAGTGTCTAGTTTTTAGTAACACTATCTTTTTAATACTTTGTTGTCAATCAAATCATTCTGATTGCATTTCAGGGCCCAGGAAGGTTTCACTGCATTCTAATCTCAAGCCTGAATCAGACTACGCTGAGTGAGGGCTGGCCCAGGATAGTGTGGCTTTCTACTGTCCTGTGAAGCAGCTAAAATTTTGATTCTTCTGAGGTGGCCCTGTTCTGGGATTTGTTGCCACAGAGCATAAGTAGGAGAGTATTGGTGACAAGAAAAGTGTGTTTGTGTGTGTGTCTGTGTGGTTGTGAGGAGTTTGGTATGACTGAGAGCACCATGCAGCTTCCCAAACGTAATCCAACCCAACTTCTTCCCAGTTGGAGGTCTTCAAGGAAGGTCCAGATCAGCTTTGTTACAGTGGGGGTTCCATTCAGATTTGTGCTCAATTAGATAACCATTGATTTCCCTTCAAACTTTCAAATTCTATGATTCTTCCTCACGTTCAACTCTGGAGCTAGCTCATCATTCATCTGTGATGCCTTTCCATGTACATGGATACTCTAACCCAACAGACAGCCTTTCCCACTACATGTCATAGTTCAGGCAATATGTCATTTTCCTCCACTTTATCTTCCTGTGTGGATAGCCAGGACAATATTTTTCGAGCCTTTATGGATCTCATTATCATCTGTTAATTAAGTATATTAATACTTACCCTCTCTTGTTGTTCAGTCATTTTTGTGTCCTATTCTTTGTGACCCCATTTGGGATTTTCTTGGCAAAGATAATGGAGTAGTTTGCCATTTCCTTCTCCAATTCATTTTACAGATAAGGAAACTGAGGCAAACAGGACTAAGTGACTTGCCTGGGACCAGACAGCTAGTAAGTGTCTGAGGCTGGATTTGAACTCATTTAGATGAGTCTTCCTGACTCCAGGCCTGGCACTCCATCCACCATGCCACTTAGCTGTCCTACCTATCCTCTCTATCTCACAAGATTAGTATGAGCACCAAAAGAGAAAGGACTTTGTAACCATAAAATATTAAATCAATATAAGCTGTTTTATTAATAACTAATACTAAATCATTACTATCATTAAAATTATCATTGTCATTAAAATAATGATCATTGTTACTATTATTTATGATAATAGTAATTATATGATAATATGTAATTAATAATAGTGATAATGATGATGATAATAACAGCCCCTTTTAACAGTCTTATGATTTCATTAGTATAGGAAATTCCCATTGAGAAATTCCTATACCAATGCAGTTTCCTATACCAATGAAATCACACAACCAAGAAAAAAATTGCTATTATTACTATTATTAGAATTCGTAGTTTGATGGTCAGCATCCTTTCATGGGTTCAGGCCACTGGCCAGATGACACTAACCCCTGAGCAACAAAGACACTGACCCAGCAAGGCTATTATCGTGTATAGACTGGAAGAAGCTGGAGGGGAACAGACTGAAACTCAACAATTAAGTTACATATCTAATATTTTTAAAGTAGTCCTCATAGTAACCGTGCATATGATTGGCACTTAATAAATATTTGTTAGCTCATTGGTCCCATGTGTTGACTGGAGTACTTATCTCTTTCTTCACTAAAATTAGATCCCATGATTCAGGCCTGTCATCAAAATTGCCAGGAGGATGTAAGTGATCTTTGATCTCTTCAGGGCCATGCCTAGTGCCTGGTAGGAGGGGGCAATGCCTTAGTATCTTCACCTATAAAATAAAGGAACTGGGGCAGCTAGGTGGCACAGTGGTTAGAGCTCTGGCCTTGGACTCAGGAGGACCTGAGTTCAAATTCGGCCTCAGACACTTAACACTTACTACCTATGTGACCCTAGGCAAGTCACTTAACCCCAACTGCCTCACCAAAAAGCAAAAAATAAAACAAAATGAAGGAATTGGACTCAATGACCCCCAAATGCCCTTTTTGCTCTAAAGTCTATGATTCTATTAATTCTTTCGCTTCATAGATGAAGATGGTTAACCACACAGGTAGAAACATGGCTAGGGCCTAGGTTTCCAGACTACTGGGCTAGTGTCCTTGACACTACCTTTTGATGAGTCTTGCTTTCAGCACTGATTTAGGTATCTGCCCCACTAAACAGAAGAGAGGGCTGAGTAATAGGCCAGTGGAATTGACACTAATGGTCAGCCAACTCTGAAAAGAGAATGAAGAAAACCAATAAAAAGTGAGCCAGACTTTTCTAAAGGAGCCCAAGAGTTTGCATAGGAAAATAGTAAGAAATGATACTTGAAAGTAAGTTGGTGCCACATCGAGAAAGATCTTGAAGAGTAGTTTGATGTTTGTTGAGTAGCTAATGAGGAGTTGTGGTAGGCTTTGGATCGGGGAGTGACATAATGTTGTAGTTTAGGAAGATAAATCCAACATTAGTATATAGGATTGACTGGATAGAGTTAGGAAGCTATTTTAATAGTCTAAGCATGAAAGAAGCAGTGAGGGCTTAAACTAGAGTGAAAGCAGTCAGTGAGAATGGAAAATATGCCTTTGATAGTATTTTGGAAAGAGCACCAAACTAGGTTCCAGAACACTTGGGTTATAGTCTCAGTTGTGTTATTAAATCACTATATATGTTGGTTATTTCATCTGTCTGAGATGTAGTTTTCTAATAATAACATAATTATTAAAGTAAAATTATTTAACTAAAATAATAACAGTTACTATTTATATAAGATTTAGAATGCCATCTAAAATGTTCACAAAACCCTTTTTGTCAAAGTTACTCTATAGGATTGGCAGGGCTGGTATTATGAGCAATGCCATTTTACAGATGAGGAAATTGAAATTTAGAGGGGTCAGATGACTTCCCCAAAGTCCCCCAGCAAGTGACTGGCTGATTTGATTTTTCACCTCTATGTGGTGATCAGATGCACCAGAGGGAGCAGAAAAGAGGGAGAAGGAGGAAATACCTGTCTGGGCGGGTGTCCCGGATAGCCCGGTTACTGGGGATCCGATCGCTCTCCCGCTGGTTGAAGGAGTACAGCTTATAGGGATCCTGGCCGACTTGCCACTTCTTAGCACTCAGGTACCGCCGCTCCTCAAACTCGTCCCACAAGTCACCCCAATCACTATCCAAGGCCTGTGTGACATGAATATGCACTTGGTGAGAACTGTTCAATGACCCCCTGGCCTCTTCCTCACTCACCCTCCTTGACTGTCCCTTGTCACCCCACCTCAGGAGAGACATCAAATGGCTCACAGGGTTAGTTAGGTAGGCAAGACCTGCCTCATAGACTGTGGGGTCCCAGGTGCAATGCAGAGTTGCCCTTCTTGGCAATCTCTAGCCTATCCTTGGTAGCACAGAAGAGAAGGCAGGATCAAAAGCAGTAGCCACCATATGCAAACCTTTCATAAATAGAGTCTCTGCAATATCCCTTCCACCCACCAACTCAAGAATTTTTTCCTGGTACACAAAACCAATAAGGGTTGAGGAAAATGGATACAAATGGAGGAGTGGTTGATGCATAATAACAGGCACGGCTAATGAATACAAGCCATTACTGTAGTTTCTTATCATAAATCTTCAAATCAAGGTCAACTAAGGTCACCGACTTGCTAGCTACACTTTCCTGGATTCTTGGCCTCTTTACCTTAGTCACCAACCCAGTCAAGGGAATCTTTCCAATTAATCTCAGTGCAGACAAATTGCTTCCCATCCACACCTCTGCTCCTGCCCAAGGAAAGCTATCCTGAGGGTACAAGTGGTCTCTTTTAGACAATGGATGATTCCAAAAGGGCTCTGAGACTTTGGGCTACATTAGGACAACTAAGAAACTCAACACCCTCAGAAGAAAACATGTTTCCAGGATCACTAGTTGATGATTGAGTTCTGTCCCAAAACATAAGGGAGAATAGCCTTGGATTTGACATCATTATAGGGAAGGGAAAGATGATTATCATTATTATTATTATTATCATCATCATCATCATCATCATCATCATTCTTGGTGCTTATTATTTTATTAAGCACTTACTATGTGCTTGGCACTGTGCTAAGTGTTTTTTTATTTTTAATTTATTATCTCATTTGATCCTCACAATAGCCCTTATTATCCTTATTTTACAGCTTATGAAACTGAGTCAGAGAGAGATTAAAAGACTTGCCAATGGTCACATAGCTAGTAAGAAGCTGGATTTGAACTCAGGACTTCCTGACTCTAGACACATCACTCTGCTGTATCCTATGCAATACCTAATTGCCTCCAGTTATCATTATAGACAATGGGGTTCTCATTCACATATTAATACACTTTCTACCATAGATATATTTAAATAAAATATATACATATACATAAATAAAAACATATACATATATAAATCTTACATGTACATTATTTTTTTTTTTGCATGTTGTGAGTTCTTTCAGGGTAGGGACCACGTTTTGGCCTCACTTTAAATCCACAGCACTCACCACAGTGCTGATACATCGTAAGTCCCCAATAAATGCTTATTGACTAACTTAAAACCTCTATAACACTGTTGGATTTATTTGCAGCTACCTGTATCCAAAGAGGGAACCAAAATAAGCTGGTGCAGTGTGGAACAGCGGAAAGAATGTTGGCTTTGGAGTCAGGGGGCCTAGGTTTGATTTCTGGTTCCACAGCTTACTCCCTGCATGACCTTGGAAGAGATACCATTCTCCAAGGGTGTCTGTTTCCTCCTATATGAAATGAGAGGGTTAGACTTCTAGGATCCTTTCCAGCTCTAAATCTATGAACCTGTAATTGAAAGGGAGTCAGTCCCATCCCATCAATGAATGGGCTACGCCATCAATGACTAGGGTATAGCTGCCACATCTCAAGGACCTAAACAAGGTGAGACCCACAAGAAAGATGGCACCCTGACAGCTGTCTAGCTACTTACAACAACCACAGGCGATGAGTGACAAGGAAGACAGATCCCAACTTGTTCATTCATTTCAGGCCTAAAGAAAGTTGTAACCTTATCTAATAATTGATCTCTTCCCCTTTGTTAGCTCCTTTGGGAACCAGGGTTCCCCTGCTAATAGCACAAAATGAGGCTTTTGAAACCAGTGATTTTTATCCAATGATGGATTTTATTAATGTTGGACAATAGAGCTGCTGTATTAATGGGCTTGGAGGAGCAGAGAATGTGGGCGGATGGAGGGCAGGGATAGGATGCAGCACTTCCTAGGAGCTGCTCTGTCATTGCACTGGGCTGCATAGGAGGGGATGGGTCTCAATTCCCAAAACTGTCACCACCAGTCAGAACCATAGAAACACAAAACTTTAAGTCTAGAAGAAACCTCAGATATCACCTAGTCCACCCCCACATTATATGCATAAGGAAGCTGGAAGCCTTAGGCAGAAGGGGATTTGCCCACTTGTTAATATCAGGAATTTTTTTTGTTTTTTGTTTTTTTTAAATTTCAGGACTATCACAATCATTTTGTCCCCAAGAGGAATACATGTACTGTCCTGAATGATTTTCCACTACAGGCATGCCCAGCCTAATTTTATTAACTGGATCCCTGAAAATATGACATTAGGTAAAACTGCATCACAAGGGAGCAATTCGTCATGTGGGAACTACTGTCTAAGTGAATACAGTAGGGTTTGCAGCAAGGTTGAGCAACTGTTGGTGGGATTTGGGTTATAATGGATTTAAGCAAGGTTATTATAAATTCACATTGGTCAGGGCAACATTATATGGGAGAGGAGCAGCATGCTGTAGCAGATAGAAGGTTGGTCCCGATGCCAGGAAGATCTGGGTTCAAAGACTGCCTCCTATACATACTAGTTCTGCAAACCCTGGGCAAGTCTTTTAACTGCTCCATGCCCCTAGGCAATTCTGAAAGACTATATATGTTACAGACACTTTGCCCATCTGCATTACAGAGCAATTCAAAAAGGCTGTTTTCTGGGGTGTGTCTATAGTCCATGGATGGCTCAGGAGAGACTAGAAGTTAGACAGTAGTACAGACATACTCCGCAGTGTGGGGAGGAAGAAATGAAACATGCATTTCAAAATACTTCATTTAATCCTCACAACATTGGGAATTAGGTGCTATGATTATCTTCATTTTATAGCTAAGGAAACTGAGGCAGACAGAGCTGCCTAGGGTTGCACAGCTGATAACTGTGTAAGGCTGGATTTGAACTCAGGTCTTCTGACTCCCAGTCCAGTGCTCTATCTACTACACCATCTAGCTGCCTGAGGGGCCAAGAAGAGAGGGCACTTAATTAAATGGCCCTTTGACTTGGCCTGAATTCCCCAGGGCCCTATATCTCCACTCACTGCAGGAAGCCTTTAAAGACAGCTTGATGTTTTCAACTTCAGGGATAATGAGGCAAACCACTCCCCACTCCCACCCCCACAGAATCTGTTTCCTCAGAGGCCACACCAGAGGCATCCTGAGCTCAGTTGAGATTCAAACCCCAAGAAATTTCTCAGCAGCAGCAATAATGTTGGCAAGAGAAAGTGCAGAAACAGGCCAATGGAGATGACATGAGGAGGCAAAATATTGCCCCAATCATCACTTACACAGAACCCCTTTTGGCTCTGCTGTGCAGGGCCCTGAAGGAAACTCCCTGTCTTGGAAACTTGGGGGATCTTCCCTAAGAATTTTTTCCCAGGAAGTACAGTCAAGCATCTTTAATCAGAGAAAGCATCTATGTGGAAACTCAAAGTTGCCATCTTCTGTTTCCCACAAAGAAAAGGGACACCTGAGAAAGAAGGCCCTTAGAGTTAAAGGGATCTCTTCCACTAATGGGGAGGAGACAGAGACAAATGGGGGGGGAGGGGAAAGAGGAAATAGGAGAGAAAGGGGAAGGAAAGGGGGGAGAGAGAGAGAGAGAGAGAGAGAGAGAGAGAGAGAGAAGAAAGAAGAAGAAGAAGAAGAAGAGGAGGAGGAGGAGGAGAGAAAAGGAGAAGAGTATGTGTGAGAGAGAGAGAAGAGAGGGAGAGAGAGAGATAGAGGAGACAGAGACAGAGAGAGACACACACAGAGACAGAGAGAGAGAGACAGACAGAGAGAGACAGACAGAGACAGACAGAGACAGAGGCAGAGAGAAAGAGAGAGAGAGCTCTCTTCTGCTCCCAGGTCCCATTAATGAAACACCTCAACAGTCAGCGATGAGTCCTATGGATCTGGTCTATGGCGAATATTGCTGCTGGATTGGCTGGAAAGCCAAGACTTTTGTTCACCCAGGGCAAGTTTTGAAAATGGTAGCCCCCCCATCTGAAAAACTCCAGCAGTCTTTTGTGTGTTACCACGCAGCCGCCTGAGGCATGGAGTCTTCTCTGTAACATATGGGACTTGACTTATTACAAAATTAATACTTCAGTACCATGGAGAGGGGAATTTTCTGGCATTAAAATGTGCATTTTTAGAATGACATTGAAATGCCGTTGCATTTCACTCCTCCACCCCCACTGCCTGCTGCACCCCACGAGCCCTCCCACTTTGGCTCCTTGCTCTGCCTTCATTACACGCTGGTGAAGGGCCCTGCCAGAGCACCAGGAATAGCCCTGGATCAAGAGGAGAGAATATTGAAGTGAGAGAACAAAAGCCAGCTTCCCTCTCTCCTCACCCAAAGGATGGATTTCTCTAGAATCCTCTCAGGTCTCTGGAGGGCAGCAGTCTTATCTACTGGCTCTCAGTGCTAAATTAGGGCTCACTTCACAGTCTTCCTATTCACTCCACCTGTGCTGAATGCAATATCTCTGAGTCCTAATAACAGCTCAACTCCTCAACACAATCCTCTGATGTCCTTCTGCAAGCATTACTGCCCCTCTTTTGCAAAGGAGGAAAATTGAGGCTCAGAGAGATTAAGTGGTCACGGCCTACAGGTACAGGCCATTCACCACCATCACCACCCCACACCCACACACCCACATGCTCCAGCTTAGTACAGTGTCTCTTCCATTCTCCATGATGGGTAACTGGCACCCATGAGCAAATCTTTCAATTCAATGACCCAACCATAAATACCTTCTGATTTTCCTTTTCATATGTTGAAGAAAATTTGAGAGTATGTTTTCAAGTCCTTTACTCCTAGTTCCTGAGAACTCTTATTTCTTTAATAACTTACTGTCTGAGAACCTTTGTAATCTCTT